GCTTTTTTTTCCACACGGGCATCTCTCCGTCCTCCCCCTCCCGGCGGCGCGGCCCCGCCGCAAAAGCCGTGCGCGCGCTCGGGCGACGCGTGCACGCGCCCTGCCGCAGCTGTCCCGCCGCGGCCCCGCCCCTCCTCAAAGCGCGCCGCCATCCAGCGGCGACGGCTCGAGGGGCGGCCGGCGAGAGGAAGGGACCCGAACCGAGCGGCGGAGGGATCGGCGGGGCGGAGGGATCCGCAGGCTGGAGCCGCGCGGCGGGAGGGAGGGAGGAGAGAGCGGGCGATGCGGAGCGGAGCGGCCGTTATCTGAGAGCGGGGGGCGGCGGCGGGGCCGCGGGGGGCGCGGAACGGCGGCGCGGGGGAAGGGCGAGGCCGCGAGGTGCGGCCGCGGGGCGGGGTGTGGCGGCGGCGTCACCGCCCTGCGTCACTGTGCGGTCGGCGGGGAAACGGGCGGTTTGGGGTTCGGAGCCGCGCCGCGCGCCGAGCACGCGGGGCTCCGCCGTCCGAGGAGCGAGGGTTTGTTCCGCCCGTTTCGTTTTTGTCTGATGCGAAATCCCGGGAGCCCGGCGGGCTCCCTGCGTTCTTCCCTTCCCGCCTCCCGCCTCTCCAGCATGTAGCGGGAGGACGGCGGTAGAGGGGCCGAGACGCGCGCGGTCGGCCTTTCGGACGCGCTGCCGTAGGAAGGAGGAAGGCTGATCCTCCTCCGGGGCTCTCGGCGGCGTTGGCGCCGCGCTGAGGAAATGGGGCTGGCTGCGCGCAGCTGAGCCCATCCGCTGCCGGAGCTGCTGCGGCGCGGGGCTTCGACCGTTCTGGCATCAGGGAGGCGCGCCGATGTCGGCCTGTCGTGTGTAAAATGGACAACGAAGTCTTCACCCCCCTTTTGAAGAAGTTCACGCGCAGCCCTCTCGTCACATGGGTAAGCGTTGATTTTTTTTTGCTCGCCTGTCATTCATTGGTTTCCTGCTTGTTGGCGTTTGTCATCATCATCCGGTCGCTGCGTTTCAGGTTCGGACGTTCGGACCCTTAGCGGAGGAGAATGGGACCAGCCTGGAGGAATACATGACGCTGGTGGACGGCGTGTTTCTCAACGAAGTCATGCTGCAGATGTAAGTGTGTGCAGCCCTGCGCTGCTGCCTCTGTCCCTCTCCTCGTCTGGAACGCTTGGCTTTCTTACCAGAGCTGCTTTTTCTTTCCTTCAGTAGCAGCGTGGGTAAATAACTTCTGTCTTGGGTGCCTTGAGTAGTCACGTGGTCGGTAGCAGGGAGACTTTGGAGCAGAGCAGATGCTCTCATCTGCTCAGACGATGGTGTAATGTCCAAGCACTGTGATTCCAGGGTGGGCTGATCCAGCAATCTGGAGCTTGCTGGAAAAGGAGATCGCTTTAAGTGGTTTCCCAGATTTCCATGAGAAGCATAACGGTTCATTCTGCTGTCAAGTCATGATCATAAACAACATTTTGAATCAATGCACTTGGCTAGTAAGATTCTGATACCTACCTTGCTTGGCAACGTACCTCCTAAGGATTTACCAGTCACATCGCATTGTTTGCCAGTGGAGTGGTCTGCTCATCAATGCCTTCTGCTTCATTTCTCACAGCTCAGAATTTGAGTAGATAGCAGTTGTGTAGTAAAGCTGAAACTGAGAGCGTGGAGCATTTTTTGGCCACAAACCACAGAAGAACCGTTTTTACATAGCCTTATCAATTGTTTATTGAACACTGCTTAAAAAGAACCAACTCCGTCATTACGAGATGACAAAATCACACGTGAAAAAATGCATAGCTTGCTATTTAGAAGGCATGTAGCTCAAAAAGTTCCAGTCAGAGAAATACCAGCATATCCAGCTGTGTGTTGTGATTATTATTTTTTGTTTTGACTGAAATGTTGCCCACTGTTGTAATACTAGTGTCATACTTTTGTGAAGAGCGTAGCGATGTAACTTAATAACATTAATAATGGAGGAAAATACTCAATTTTTTTTACATTTACAGAGGAAGACAGCAAATCCATGTGCATAGGTATGAAAAAATACGGGCTTATGAATGATGAGATGGATAAACCAGCACATGAGCAGCTTGTGATGACAGCTGTTCCCTAGCCCTGCACTCATGATGGGCATCCTGTTACTCCACTTACAGTTTTACTTGTACACACACACTTTTATAGCTTTTTCTGTTGGTATTGAGCTCACGTGAATAACCTGTATAACAAAATTCTGCTTGCCACGTTTAAATTTGAATTGTTATCCTCCTGAAATCAATGCCTTCTTTGTCACTACAACTGATTTATTTTTTCTTGGGCTGCGCATACGTGAAATAGCTTGTCAGTTTTAACTGTGCATTTAGCACATAGAGCTTCTGTTTGATTAAAAATGTTTGACAGCTGGAAGTAGAAGGCAAATGTGGTACTGGAACAAAGTGATTTTGAAGAATGTAACTTCAAAATTAAGCTTTCTCGGTAAGTTTTTACAATATTAAGAAAGTGTACCCCGATTGATGTGTATGTGGTGAATGTTTGTGTAAAATGGGAAGCTGCGGGGAGAAAACAATCCCAGGCTTGAGGCACTCAGCACTGAATTTGGCTTTGACAGCACGCTGGGATGACTGTAGTTTACTTGGAAGGAGTTGTGTGTAGATGTGTAAACACAGGAGAGAGGCAAAGAAAGAAAGTTTGGCACTTGGAACAATTGAAAACTACCTTAAATTAGAAGAAGCTGTGAAAGTGCTGACAGTAAAACTAGTTTTACAAATACGTAACTACTCTGGAAGGTGTGTTTAGTTTAAAATACTTCTTTGGGGAGTTAAAATATGTTAAGATTGATTACTACTTAAAATTGAAACTTCATCCAGGACCGTATTCTTATTTGGGAAGGGATGAGGGGAATATGTTTGTTTTTCTTTTGCTAGGGTTGAAAGAGGAAAAAAACGTTTCGTGTTTTGCAGACAGATTCCATCTCTGGTGAAGTCAGTGGAAAGCTGTGTTAGCTTCTGGTCCCTTTGAAGATCCACATATTAAAAATTCATCTTCATTTGCAAAAAAAAAAATCTAAAGATGTAACTTCAACTAACCATTAAAATCACATTTTCGGTATTTTCCATTTTATTAGGATTTTTCTTTTTGTCCTTTTGGTCTTAACTAGCATTTGTTGAGGAAATGCAGCAGAAAATGTAACTTCAAAATCATATTTTTCTTTGGAATTTCTCTATGTTTTGTATGACTTTTTTCACATTAGACATAGAGATCCATAGTTATGGGTTATGACACACTTAGTAATTCTAGAGAAATGAAGTGTTGCTCTTGCAGAAGTGATCAGGAGTGCCATGCCTAGAAAGCAGCTCTGAAAGTTGCTTTTGACACCAGTTATGTCATCTGGTACTTGCTGTGTGCATTAGTTGAGAGGTGCATGGGATGCTGGTGTTTTGATGTGAGGATACAGCTATCAAACATCTGCTGGGTGAGGACTCTGTGGTGTGGTGTTACTGTGGGTTGGATGAGATGCTTTAAAGGAAGTTAAGGACATGAACAAGTGGAGGCTGTTAGAGGTGTTGTGGTCTTGCTGCTCTTATACTTGAATACATGTTTTAATTCTGCCAAATGTTGGGGGGGGAAGTTATAGCATAACAGTGAAGGTTAGGCATGTTTTAAGCAGTTATATATCAAAAAAAGTTATTACCTAGCAGAATTTTTTGTTCTCAGCAGTGGTACTGAGATGGCTGGGTTTTTTGTTTGTTTTTCTGCTGGAATTGACTTTATTGGTACCTAGTACATCAGGAAGAGAAAAACAAATTCGTTACGTTCCTTGTATGCCTTTTGCTGTTGAATGTGAAAATTGCATGGATTCCACTTGGTGTTAGATCTGGAGAGCTCTTCCTTTACTGGAGATGCTACAGGCAAGCTGTTTTTTGTTTTGTTTGTTTGTTTTCCTGTTTTTAAGGTGAGTTCTGATTTTAGAATATCAGCTCCTGACTTGAGAGAACGTCTCATTTCCTGTTTAAATTTAGGTCAGTTTCTTCAAAAGTATTCAGTTACCTACCTTCTGCTAGGAGCAGTCTGTGTCTGATACACGGATAGAAATCCATCTGTCTTTCTAAATCTGGGCCTTCATCTTGGTGTTCTTTGGTATAGAAAGGGGTTATGTATCTTGGAAATAAATTGCCATGCAGGGGATCACCTCAGTGGGGCTCTGCTATAGCAGAGAGGTGGAGGAGCCTACCCACAATAGTTCATACCTTTACCATGAATCATAGAATGATAGAATGGCCTGGGTTGAAAAGGACCACAATGCTCATCTAATTTCAACCCCCTGCTGTGTGCAGGGTCACCACCCAGCAGACCAGGCTGCCCAGAGCCACATCCAGCCTGGCCTTGAATGCCTGCAGGGATGCTTTGATGTCAGAATGCTTCTGATGTTAGGAAGTGTGCAGGTGCTTGAGTGGTGTATGTTGTGTGCTGCTAAAATGAAGCACTAGAGTTCAGCAGATTAGTCAGCCCTTGCACGTCTAGTAAATAATGCCTACTTGTCCTGGTAGGGATGTGTGAGTTGTTCTTCTCAAGCAACCTGTGAGACTTTGCAGTTGTGTGCTTTTATTCAAGTAATTACAAGACTGGGACTTCTTTTCCATTTAGCAGCGCCACTGAATATTTGCTTATGTAAAAAAAGATTCAAACTGTAGCTTAGTTTTAATGGTTTTATTTTACTCCAGATTGCATTTGTGGAAATGGATCTGTTTCACTGCAACTGTTGGACGAATAGCGTGTTCAAAATGAGTGATGTGCAGAAGCAAACTCTGGAACTGAGTTAACACGATGCACTGCCTGGAGAACCCGTCTGTTTTTGTGTCTGTGTTCCATTCCTAACCGTTGCATTAATTGAATACATTCATTGATACTACCCACATCATGCATGAGAGCATGTTTAGAACTATTTCAAAGGAAGGAGTATTTTATTTTTCTCCTGTTTTTCTCCATCTAACTGTTCAGTCACAGTTTTTCACTGTCTGGATCTGCATGCAGACCTTCCACACCCATCGAATTTTCCAGGTGGACTGGCTGACAGTTTTCTTCCACTACTGTGGTGGTGTGTGCCTTGAATGTGTAGACTGCTTCATTGACTCATTTTCTGAGCTCTCAGTCTTTAGTTGTACGCTTTTTTTTTTTTTTTTTTTCCCAAGCAGTTGAGCTTGCCAGCCCATACTTCTGGCTTGCTTATATCTTTTTCTGAAAACTGGACGCCATCTCCAGTGCTTCAGCCAGCTGCCTGGCTCTGTGAAAGAGTGCAGGGACGTGTGCTCCAATCCAATTAACTCTTTCATGTGAAGGCCAAAGAGCAGGAGGCAGCTTCGCTCAGGTTTTGACTGGGCAAAGGGATGGGAAAAAATGATTTAGGGAAAATTAAATTGGTGAGTTTGGCAGCAAAACTACAAGCGCGTGATATTTTAGACAAATGGCAAATAAAATGAAGTCTGTGCCATTCTCATTTGTTGAAGTGGATGGATTTGATGCACGGTTCTCAAACTCTGCCAGGCTTACGTGATGCAGGTAGGTGTCACCAGCAGTTTTGAGTTGCTCTCAAAAGTGGTTTTGCAGGAATATTTTCTGCAAGGTGTTTTTCAATGAAAGCAGTGTTTGTAATGGTTTCTGCGAAGAAGCAAATTCTTTAAGAAGTGATCCAATAGGATGTGCACTGAAGTCAAGATTGCTGGAATTGAAACCTTTAGAAAACTAGAAGGTACTTTGATGCAGTGTGTAGAGTGAGGGTGGTTAATTGCAGCTTGAATGTCTGCCTGCAGCCAGCTTCAGCCATGCAAATGTGGTGAATGTAGGTAATACCTGTGCTTCTGAGGTGCTTCAGTTTTTGATAGGTAAAGGGGAAATACAGTGTAGGCTGGCTGTGGAACATTTTGAGTGTGTGACCTTCTGGTTATGTGTCAGTTTTTTGAGTTCTTTGTGTCCTTTTCCGCTGTTGATGTCCAGTGTCCTTCACCCTGTCTCCTCCAATTTATTTTTGTGTGGTAAACTATTCAGTGGTTCACATTGGATCTTTGAAGGTTAGGAAGCAAATGGTCTAAGCATCCCCTACATACGTACTTGTGCTTCTCAGCTCTTCA